CTCCCAATTTCTGCTTTTGCTCTCCCAAAACCTTCTCCAGGTCCCGTTCGCTCCTGCAGACCGGGCTTTGCCTCCAGCAATGCCAGAGGCCAAGGCTGGGACTGAGAAAAGTCCCACGCGTGGGGCAAAGCATTGCCGTGCGATGGATCCCCAAAAGAAATTTGGGGCGTGCGTGCGTCTCCCTAAAAACATCTCTCCCTCGGCGCTTCCACCTTCCCTCAGTTCTCCTCCCTCCATCCTCGACCCCCTCGCTCCAACGCACCCCTTCGCCTTTAAATAAACATTTAGGGATCAATTCGCCGCGGATTTGGGGCCAGCGGCCACGGGGATGGCGAGGACTGAAAAAAATAAAAAAAAACCCAAAAAAAAAAAAAAAAAAAAAAAAAAAAAACCCACCAAAAAAAAAAAAAAAAAAAATCCCTAGCAGAAAAAAAAAAAAAAAAAAAAAAAAAAAAAAAAAAAAAAAAAAAACCCAAAGCAGAGAGGGGGAAAAGCCGGTGCTGAGGAACGGGAGGGGGGTCCCACGGGTGGTGTTAATGCAAAGCAGGACACGGGGAGGGGGACACGGGCCGGTCACTCCCCTCGCCCTGGGTGGTCCGGGCTGGCAGGAACACCCCGGCCCCCGTCGGAGCAGCACCCAGCCCGCCTCTAACAATGCCACCTATAGACATTCTATACATTTCCATCCTCGGGTTACAGCCGGCCTGCTCGCCGAGTTGACTTCACTTAAGCAATTAGCTAGGAAAAATACCTTCGGCGCAGGAAAAGGAAGAAAGCTCGGATTTGTCTATTTTTACACAAAACACGGCCCGAGTTTGGGGCAGGGGGAGGAGGGAAGGGGAGAGGGTTTGGGAAGGAGCCGGGGCCGGGAAAGCGAGCTCCGAGCGGGATGGGAGAGGCTAATTGAGCCAGATGATCATTTAATTGTTGTCATTTCTTCTTGTTCTCCTTTCTTTTCATCTCTGCCCGTCGGGGGCCGGGGAGGACCCGATTAACCCACCCAAATCACGAGCAGACAACACCAAAAGCGAGTCCCGTTTTCCCCCACATCCTCCTCCTCCTCCTCCTCATACACCAGGCTTTTCCTCCCCAAAACTCTCCTTTCCCCAACTCGTGCGCTCGGATTAAAACCCCCCAACATTTCTGCTGTTCCCACGACGAGGCCTATAGGACCCGGAGCGATATATTCCCATTTTTCACTTTTGCTACCTATAATAAATGCATAGGAAACCAAATCTTCCCCCTCCTAAAAGATCTTGCGAGAGGGGGAAAGGGGACTCGTGAAGGGACTGATTTTCTTTGAGGGGGAATAGTTTGATTTCCACGGAGATTTT